AAAGGAAAAAAGACTCTTCATAGGAGTTTATGTTTACACTTGCCCTGTCTTATCTGACATAGGGAATGCACAAAAAACAGAAAATATTCTTTTTTATGGCTAAATTATAACTACTTTGAAGATTTAATACTCCCCTGGAATTAAACTGTATATCTAAAAACCATTTCTGCCACAGATACACAGCTTGTCCTTCTTATAAAATTGATTTTTAAACAACTAAAATTTTTAATGGCCTTGTTTCAGAACAAATTACTCTAAAATGAGTAACTTAAGACAGATATTTGAATGGGCTCATGAGACGTGTGTCAATAATTGAGGAAGGGATTGGCCAGACAGTTCTTACCTCAGGTCCCTCATGTGTTGGTAGTCAGCTGTTGGTTGGGGTTACAGTCATTGAAGGCTTGACTGTGCTGAACATCCAGATGGCTTACCTGCTTGCCTGGCAGTTGATGCTGGCCAGAGTTCCTACATGTGACCCATCATGATGGAGGTCTCTAGGTAGTTACACTTCTTACATGACAGCTGGCTTTCCCCAAAGTGAGCATACTGTAAGGTCTATTACTGAGTCAAAATGAGGAAACTGGGGCCAGTGTAAGAAAATGAGAAGCCGGTTTACTCAGCTCCCAAGCAAAATTCTATGGTCCAGGAAAGGGCCAGAGAAGTCCCGCTTGACTTCTCAAGGCATGGGATTTTATGGGGAGTGGAGGTGATTGATTGGTTATTGGGAAACAAAGCACAGGCAATTTAATTGGTTACAGGGAGACAGGGCTTGGATGTGGTGAGTTGCCATTGGTAGGTGGGTGGGACTACTGGTAGGTGGGCTGGCTGGGGACATGATTGGTTATTGGGAAACAAAGCATAGTTGATTTCATTGGTTACAGGGAGACAGGGCGTGGTATGGTGAGTTGCCATTGGTAGGTGGGCGGGACTACTGGTAGGTGGGCTGGCGGGGGACCTGGTTGGTTATTGGGGAAACAAAGCATAGCAAGTTTTGGGAGGTGTTTTTTGGCCTCGGGCTGGGGGTTGAGCACTTAGTTTGGTGCTGAATATAGATCTGGGTGCAGTAGCAGAGGTAAGTGTGGAGAATTCATGTGGAGAAGCCAGATGCTGAGTAATGTGCTCAGAATAATAACGCAGTTATCAGGTGAGAGCAGGGATGGGTGTGTCCGTTTAACTCCTGGCGAGGCAACCGGCCTTACACATACCAAGAGAACCAAGCAGAAGTTGCTCGACCTCTTCTCATGCCTTAAAAGTCATCCAGGCCGTGCGCGGTGGCTCACGCCTGTAATCCCAGCACTTTGGGAGGCCGAGGCGGGTAGATCACGAGGTCAAGAGATGGAGACTATCCTGGTCAACATGGTAAAACCCCGTCTCTACTAGAAAACACAAAAATTAGCTGGGTGTGGTGGCGCATGCCTGTAATCCCAGCTACTCAGGAGGCTGAGTGAGGCAGGAGAATTGCCTGAACCCAGGAGGCAGAGGTTGCGGTGAGCCAAGATCGCGTCATTGCACTCCAGCCTGGGTAACAAGAGCGAAACTCCGTCTCAAAAAAAAAAAAAAAAATGTCATCCAGCATCACTTCCGTAGCATTCTTTAAGTAAGGGCAGTCCAGATTCAAGACAAGAATCATAGACCTCATCTATTGATTTTTAAATGCCTTCATATTTATCATTATAAAAGTATATTTGTTTTAGCTTTCTTAACAAGAAATGTTCAAAATTTCTACAGTGAGCATATACTATGAGATATTTACTATCATCTTGTTTCTGTGATTTTGTTTATGGGGAACAGAATAACTTTCACTACTATAATATATGTTTATAATTCTATAATATCTTACATATAAAAAAATTATAGCCTATTGTGTTTTGCCTTTCTACCCTTTAACTTTGAACCAAATTCTAAAAAATCATTAGGGTTAAAGCTTCAATTTACCAAACCAAGAGGCTACCTCTGGGGAGGAAAGACAAAGTAGTGAAGGTCTTGTTCTTTCAAGCTGTGAACAGCCATTAACTTTCAGTTTTGTCTCTGCAGGAAGAAAAAAACAAACACGCCTTCTTAGAGTAAAGGGGAAGCCTTAAAGTGAGGTCTCATGTTTGCACTGGGAGAAATTAAAGGGACTCTCCACCAGTGTTCATTAGTATTCCCAGAAACCTCTCATAAAATAAATGGAAAGGAAATTTCTTAAATTTGAGGGCTAATTCCTGGAACACTTTTATTGATTTATTTTACTTTGTTATAACCAGTGACTAGATTTTGATCTTGAAAATTATTTGGAAAATTGAAAGTGAAAAAGAGATATAAGACTTTTAAAAATTTTTTTATTAAAACAAATTTCATGTTACTTTTGTCATATTAACACAAACAGTTCAGATCTAACTTTTGTTTTACATGTAATTCTATCCTGATATATAATTTACACTTTTTAAAATACATTTAAATCATGTCTTGTCTGCATAACAGTCAATATTATCTCTTATGTTTGGAAAATGAACTTACATAAGAATATTTATCATAGACCTACTCTCTTTAAGGCTCCATGCTAGTTGAGGTATAAAAAGTCCAGATTTCTATGCTTCGTTTTGCTATAACAACCATAACAGAAAATACAACAATTTGCAAAACTCTCTATATGTCTGTCTTCGAGGTCTGTGTCTACGCTTCTGGAAGCTGCCAGGAGATGACAGCACTACTGTTGATTAGTGCAGCTAGGAGAAATAGCAGATTTTATTTCTAGCATAGACAAATAGTATTCCAGTTTTGTACTTTCCAAAGCAGTCAGGATAATCTGAAGCAGCTTCTTGATACAGTAAAACAATGAGGCCAGGATGAAAAGCCAACACCTAGAAGACAGCAATGAAAGAAAGTGGGGGACAGCCTTTGTGTTTGACATATTAGAACAGCCACACTAATGCTTGCCTACTTTTAAACTCTTTCGCATATGAGATAAGTAAATCCCTATTGAGTAAAGTGACTTTTAGCTAGAATTTCTATTACTTGAAGCAAAAGATGTCCAAATGATATCATCTAATTTCAGTCTCTTAGGCAGTCATCTGAGCAAAACAATTCTATGTGCTTGCCTAGGAAGAAAGGCTTTGGATAGTGGGTGTAATTCTGTTATCTGTTCCTCAGGGATTATTCTACTAGAGTCAAGGACACTTCTGTATAGGTAGAGCATGTTTAGAACCCAGTTATTGGGACCAGTAAACCTAGGGAGGAACTTAGAGGTTTGAGCCATTGCAGGGAAAGAAGAATCATAATGCCCCCAAAAGATGATTATACCAATTGCCTCTGAGATTTTCCTTACCTTAAAAAGGCCTGAGAGTCAAGTGCAAACACTCTTCTCATAATTCTATCTTACCCTTGCAATCTTGCTCAAGACAAAGATGCAAGAAAGCTGTTTCTACTTTCTTAATACTCCTTTCAGCTATGCCTTCTTTTTAATTTTGAGACTACTTTTGATGTTGCCTTTAGCTTAATAGCAATTATTACAGGAATCTACAAATATCCACTGTGGAAGCATACAGCATTCCCCTACTCCTGCATATTTTTCTGTGTATGGGTTGGGTTTCCACAAGTGTATGCATTCTTCTATTCATTAATTCTTAAAGCATCCATTTACCACCTACTACGTGTCAAGCATGGAGCTAGTGGCTATACTCACTTAGTATAGAGGTTTGAAAAAAGACGTAACTGGTCTTTTTTCATAGGCTCTATCTACAGCGATATGTACAAATGCCACAAACACATAAAGGAAGAAAGACTTTTCTGAATGGATAATGGAAGTTTCCACATAGGCAACTGAACAGTACTTTGAAAATGTGTCAGTAGGCAGAAAAAGTCTGATGGGCATGCCTGGAAGAAGTATGTGTGCCGCAGGGCACTGAAGTATGAGACCACTTTGCATATAAGAGCAACAGGAATCTCGTATGTATGAAATTCAATGTCAGGTGGCCATGGGAGAGAAGCCTTGAATGGTGAGACAGGTCTGGAATGGCAAGCTGACAATTTTAGGCTTTCAAATATAGAGATTCACAGAAGAATTTTAAATGGGTGTGACATTATACATGAAAGATATAATTAGGGAAGAAAGTAACTCTGGCAGAAATTTGGCCGAGGTGGAAACACTCCTACACATCAACTTCAGTCCCCAGACCAAAGGAAAAAGCATCTGAGGAACGTTTTTTTCCCAAGAGAGAACCCAAATTGCCTCCTTTCCCTCATTCCTAGACTTGGTCCTCTGCTTACTAAACAAAAGACCCTACTTATGCAGATATTCCAGCTGGCAGTTTGATAGCAGCTTCTTCCCCACAGAATTTCTCTCCCTGGTATTACCTTCGCTAATCAAAAAGACAATTTTCCTAACAAAACCAAAGATTTTTGTCATCTTTGAATATTTTTAAGCATTTCTAAAAAATCAAATCTTAAAATAATAGGTATAACAGTTATTGGGTATTCAAACCAGTAGATTATTTTTCACATTTTCATTACATTTAAGCTTCATTGAGTCCACGATAATCTTCCATTTGCTAAATTATTTTAGACTACTAAAAGCCCCTGTTACCAGAATTGTACTACAAGCAAATTTCCTTTTCCTCTGACCTGTTTAAAAGCAGACCCTCTCTCCATTTAGCACCAATACTGATGAAACTTACTGGATGTCAGGGCACGGCCTCTCTCCCCCATTTCATTTAGTATGGATACTTATCACAGACAGAATAGCTCATGTAGAAAAGAGCACCCTTTCATTCTTGTTCCAGTTTTCCTCATTTGGTCTTCCTTTAATCCTACAGACAATAGGAATCGCATACAGAGAACAAAAGAGATTCCAAAGAGCAGGATGAATTTGCCATAAATGGGCAAATTGATATGAACAAAATCCTAGTGGGGATTCCTTTAGCTGTGTGTCATCTTAGTTTTTATGGGAATTAGCATAACTTAGTGGATTAGGTTCAGGTTGACTGACAGTCATTGTGCCTGTGCTTGAATATCTCTGACAGATCATCATCGTGGAGCATGATATAATGGAAAGAACCCGTCACCTGAGAGTCAGAAGGCCTTTGTTCCATCCTGGAGCTGACATAAACTTTCTAAGAAAACTTAAGGAGTTACTTTACCTCCCTATGCCTCAGGTATACCATGTGTGAAATACAGTCCACTAGATGAGTTCAAAGATCCAGTCTTTTCATCCTGTAAAACCAAATTATTCTTTGAATACACTTTGAATTTAACTTAGAGCTACAATTATTTTAACTCTGGACTTTAAAAATCATAGCAACATGTTATATAGGCCAAAAATCCATTACCAAGACAGCTAGATGTAGAGAAATTTACAAAAAACCACTTATATATTCTTGAATTAACTGGTTAATGTCTATCTGTGCTGTACATGGTGTGTTATCACACATTTCAGTACATGTTATTCTCAGAAATCTCACTAATAGACCAAGAAATAACACAGAAAAATAGAAAAAACAGCAAAGAAACGCACCACATGTATATAAGCAAGGGCCTTTTATATTTGCCTCAAGGTAAGTTGGGTTCTGCCCTCCACACCCTTCTCGATTTGCACAGGAAAATAGCTGGAACTCCACACTTGGGAATGACGAGATATCTCAGCAGAGCGTCGCCTGATATTGAGTCTCTCTCTATAGCTGGGTGACTCCCCAGCTCTGAGGACACCAAAACTCTCCCAATGCTGCCTGCACTTCTAAACTCACACTGCCTTTGTAAAAGGGAGGTTGTTTTGTTTTCAGAAAACCAATGCTTATTCAGCTATTACTGAATATAATATATACGAGGTCAAAAACAGTAGGTAGATTTTCCTAGTCTTCCCTGCATCAGCTGGGCTTTAGCACACATGCATTAAATTACATTAGCAACTAATTTGTGGTTATGAAGAAAAAAGAGTTAACTCTTTGTTTTTGAATTGATGAGAAGTTTTCCTCCCAGAGACTACGAAATCATTCTAGATTTATTTTCAAGGACAAAAGACAAAACAGCCATGACCACTCTCATTATTTTGTCATAGTTCCTTCCAGTCTGTATCTCCCTATTCATCCATTTCCATTCTTATATGTGTCTGTGAGTTTGGGTGCATACATTAAATATAATCAACATGTATACATTTGTATCTGCCCTTATTATTATTATTATTATTATTATTATTTTTGAGACGGAGTTTCGCTCTTGTTACCCAGGCTGGAGTGCAATGGTGCGATCTCGGCTCACCGCAACCTCCACCTCCTGGGTTCAAGCAATTCTCCTGCCTCAGCCTCCCAAGTAGCTGGGACTACAGGCGTGCGCCACCACGCCCAGCTAATTTTTTTGTATTTTTAGTAGAGACGGGGTTTCATCATGTTGACCAGTATGGTGACGATCTCTTGACCTCGTGATCCACCCGCCTCGGCCTCCCAAAGTGCTGGGATTACAGGCGTGAGCCACCGCGCCCAGCCGCCCTTATTATTTAATATTATGTTATAAGCTTTCTTTGGTTTTTAAAAATATTTACTGTAACCATAGGTTTAAAAGTCTGTCACATAGTCTCATAATAATATTATTGAATTTAAAGGTGCTTCTTTTCTTGTTACTAGTATAAAATGTGACATAACAAAAAGAAAAAACAAAAACCAAAAAAAAGTGACATAACAGAGTTTCAAAAAGTTTCTTCCTATTAGTCAGATAGAATGTATTTTCAGACGAAATATAAAATATTAAAAATTTTTAAAAGATAACATTACCATATTTTAAATACAGCTGAAGAAATACCTGCAACATTGTATACATCATGTGGATCAGTTTCTAGGGCTGCTATAACAAAGTATCACAAACTGGGTGGCTTAGACAAGAAAAACTTACTCTCTCAGAGGTCTAGAGGCCTGGAGTCCAAAATCATGGTGTTAGCTGAGCCACGCTCCCTCTGAAACCTGTAGAGGAGAAATCCTTTCTTATCCCTGCTAGCTCTGGCATTTGCTGGCAATCCTTGACATTCCATGCCTTGTAGATGCATCTCTGCTTTCTGTCTCAGTTGCCACTTGGCTGTCTTCTCCCTGTGTATTTTTCTTTTTATTATAAGAACTCTAGTTCATGTAGAATTGAGATCCCTCTCCAGTGTGACCTGACCGTGGCAAATTAGGTCTGCAATCACCCTATTTCCATATAAGATCACAGTTGGAGGTACAGGGACGTATCGTTTTGGGGAGACACAATATAACCTATAACATCAATGTCAAAAACACTTGCTATTTCTGCATGTGCTCATGCTATTTTGGCAAGCTTGGAAGTGTTTTGCACTTTCTTCCTATATTCACAACTACTTCTTCAAGGGCTAAACTGGTGCAGCTTCCTCCATGAATAATGACTCTCGCCCCCATTCATCAAGTGCCTGTGAAAAGCCAGGAATGCTAGGTACACAGCACTCTGTATGGATTACAACTTCATCTTGTGGAGATCCTTTCTTCTGAATTCACATACCAGTAGTTGTTACTACAATCCATCATGTATTTTTAGTTATTTTTCAGCCATATATCTTTTTTTAACTTTTATGTTAGGTTTTGGGGGTACATTTAAAGGTTTGTGTAGGTAAACGTGTCATGGGGGTTTGTTGTATGGATTATTTCATCAACCTGGTATTAAACCTAGTATCCAATAGTTACCTTTTCTGCTCCTCTGCTTTCTCTCACCAACTTCCATGACGTAGACCCGGGTGCCTGTTGTTTTCTTCTTTGTGTTCATAATTTCTCATTGTTTAGCTCCCACTTATCAGTAAGAACATGCGGTGTTTGCTTTCCTGTTCCTGCATTAGTTTGCTAAGGATAATAGCCTTCAGCTCCATCCATGTTCCCTGAAAAGACATGATCTTGTTCTTTTTGTGGCTGCATAATATTTCATGGTATATATGTGCCATGTTTTCCTTACCCAATCTGTCACTGATAGGCATTTTAGTTAATTCCATGTCTTTGCTATTGTGAATAGTGCAGCAGTGAACATTCACATGCATGTGTCTTTATAGTAGAATGATTCATATTCTTTGGGCATATACCCAGTCATGAGATTGTTTCAGCCATATACCTTATTTTACAAATTAGATTGTAAGTTCTGTACTGGCGGAGATACTATTTATTTTTCCATATTGCCTAATACATATTTGAATAAATGAGTGACGATTAAATACATCAATGAATAAATGGATGAAAGAAAGTTCCTATGAACAACTGCACCTTACAATCTCTGTGAGTTCTTTCCGTCTCAAAGATCTGGCCTCCAGGAATCGCCTCTCTTTTATTTTATTTTCAATGTCTCCCTCGCTACTGTCTCGCTCTTAACTTACCTTCAAATGTGTTTGAGGATCTTCCATATTTAAAATAGCTTACTTGCTGCCATGTATCTATCTCCTATATCACTCTATCACTTCTCCTTTTCACAGTCAAGCAGCTGTAAATATCAAAGACAATTTATTTTGACTTCCATACTTCCTATTTACTCTTTAAAATAAAAGTGATTTTATATAATATGTGAACTTACAGAAGAGTAGAACCTATAGAAGTTCAGACGCCAAGCTACCTGCCATCATCCACTTGCTTTGATTTCTCCGCATTATATTATGTATTTATTTGTTGATTCTTTAATGCTTCTTAACTGCATACATACTTTACAAATCCAAGACATTGCCTGTCTTATTTATCATTGTGCAAACAGAAGTAAGCCTGATACAATAAATATTTATTGAAGAAATAAATGAATAAAAATTTCCCTGCTAGATTGTAAACTGAATGAGGGAAGGGACCATATGCTTATTCACCAGCATATAGCCAGCACCTAGCACATAGGAGTAGAGTGATTAATGTTTCTTGAATAAATGAATACATCATTGAAAATATTTATCACATGTCAAATATTGCCTAATCTAAGATATTGATAAAAATAGCAAGTACTAAAAAAGATGAATTGAGCTAAATTTCTCTTCTAAAAAGGAAAGCATCTAAACATTATGCCTTCTTGAAGATGATTAAAGTCCCTCCTGAATTTAAAAATAAAAAGAGTTAAAGGACCTCTGCAGAGTTAGCCAAGGGAATATATTAGTTTTTTTTTTTGTTTGTAAGATGTCTACAAATTCTATAAAGTAGGAAGAAGTGTATCCACTTTAAGGGATTTTAAACTGCAGGACATTTTACCATCTCTGGATAAATAAAAGCCTCAAGTATTCACAGAGTTAAATTTGTAGTTGCTTTTAAAAATGAGGTGGGCTTGGCCAGGCGCAGTGGCTCACACTTATAATCCAGGCATTTTGGAACGCCTAAGCAGGCGGACTGCTGGAACTCAGGAGTTTGAGACCAGCCTGGGCAACACGGTGAAACCCCATCTCTACTAAAATAGAAAAAAAATAGGCTGGTCATGGTGGTGTGTATGTGCCTATGGTCCCAGCTACACAGGAAAATGAGGCAGGACAATGGCTTGAACCCAGGAGAGGGAGGCTGCCGTGTGCCGAGATCACGGCACTGCACTCCAGACTGGGTGACAGAGTGAGACTCCATCTCAATAAAAAGCAAAAACAAAAGCAAGGTGGCCCCAATTATAGAGACAGTATATAGACAAGTTTATATTGTAAGGCATTAAACTTTACCACTGATGGTCAAATCCCATGTGCAATAAACTTGCCTGTATAATCTCTTGGTTTCCTACTGGGCCTTGAGGTATTATTGATCACAGATAGGATGCTATTCTTCAAGTATCCATCTAGTGTGATAAATGAAAGGCAATAGATAAACACCCTAGAAAAAATCAAATCCACCAGTGGTGCTGTTTTAAGAAAATAACTGTAGGTTTCCTAATTGCTTTACAGCTTCGGGGATACCTGCCAACTATAATTAAAGAATCAAAGACTAAATATTCCATAAATCTTAATAAGGAACCATGGAAAACAGAAGTCAGCAGGAAATATAAGTTACAGTCTTTCCCAAGAGTTCAATGAAATCTCTCTGTCTGGGCCACTTAATATTATGTACAAACCTTAAATCCATAATAAGTATATTACCTAGTGTAAAAGGCAATATCTCTTTGTCAACACATATTTTAATTCATGGTGTCAGAGAAATACTATATTTTAGGAAGATTTATTATCGGATAAAAAGAT